ACCACCATATGAACTGAAATGCGCGCTAACTGAAGATTTTTATACTGTGAGACTTTTATTCTACACTTCATGATAAATTTTTTCGAGAAAATTTTCAAAAAAAATTTAGGAATGTAAAACCGTGGCCCTCCGCCTCCTCGATATCCTCCTCCACCACTATAACGGCGCACTGGGCCTCGGTCACCGGGTTTTCGCGGCGGATGGGCTGTGGCCACTTTGATTCTGTTTCTTCCAATGTACCTGAAAAATAACAGTGTAAAGTGAGCAAAAAAAATTTTTTTTCAAACTGAGCATTCAGAGTTGAACTTCATGCATTCCAACCCAGTTAACACCCATACGAAAACGGTTTTGCCTAACTCCATGCGAAAGTAGGCATCTGTTTTTGTAAAGTAAAAAGGTGAGCATAATGCTAGCAAATTCAAGGAGAGATTGGCACAACAACAGGCCACAACATTCGTTCCGAAAGCAAAAAGGATGAAGGGAGTTTTGAAAATACGTTTTAAAAAAGTCAAAAACAATACGCGTTATTCATCTCTTTCAATGCATCATCGGCGTCCTCCTTCGTTTTGAATGTTACGAATGCGAAGAGTGGCGGATAAGTTGCCAACCAAACATTTTCAATGTCGCCAAACTTCCTGTAATTTTACCAGCGGTAAGAACGCTTGCTTCTCCGAATTTAAGAGACTTGGAGGAGACGGACACTGCTAAAACTGAGAATGAATTTAAGGCAATTTAAGACAACCATGGTTCTTCTTCAGACCCAGAGGCGCTTGTGCACTACATTGGGAATTAGAACAGCGACCACCACCAGCGTCGAAAAAACAGAGGAATTCATAGCTATATAGCAGAGGTGTGGAGTGCATCCTGGAGTATAGTTACAACGCATCAAGGGCCAAGCGCAGCCAAACGTCGTTTGAAAGAACTATGTCGGATTGCCGAGCGCAGTGAGGAAGGGAAAGAAGTTTCTCGGACCGCGGAGGAGGACGAATTGGAGTGGGAGGATGAGCAACACCTCCTGGACATAAGATGTAGCTCGGCAACTTTTTTTTTTTTTGGGAAGCTATGGAGCATTGATGCGTAAATGCTTACTTGAAAGCATCTTTGAGATCATCTTTTCTCAAGCTTTCATCGAAGTTGCATATGTGTAAACGGCCCAGCTGTTCAGCGGCACGGTCCACCGACCTCGAGCGGCTTCGACGACGCGGCGGCGTCTGGCTACGCGAATCCGAACGGTCACTGAAAATACACATGCATTTGTCCAGAGCAAAACACGTTCAGAGCAGCCGGAAAAGAAAGTCCTGCCCTAGCAAAAGCGCAATTTCATGCTCCTGTGTTTTTCACTGCACTGCATAAATTCAGCATCCTCGGGCCTGTATCTTCTGCCTGGCTAGCATGCTCTTTTTTCTCGCTCCTGTCCTCAACTGCTTCTTCTGATCCGAAAGCCAAAAACGACGCCTCTTCTTTCCATAGGCGGGAGGAGGGGGAGAAGGGTGGGGGGAAACGATGGGTCTAAAGCTACAACTAAAGCAAACTAAAGTCTAAAGTAACTCTAAGTAGCAGTGTGTTACAACTCTATTCCTAGTTTTTGCATAGTTCCAGG